TTTACATAGAACTTGAGAACATCAAATAAAATAAAACAAAAACATCTCTAAAACATCATATATAATGAAACGGAGGAAATATTTTTTATACAGATAGACAAGAGAAAAAAGTTTATTACTATCTTTTATATTTCTATAAAAATGTTGTTCTAATCGTTTTAACTATTTTAAAAGTACATCAAATGTTTCACATACTTTTACAAAATACTAAAATAGTCTCCAATGATATTTAAAAAACAATGGAATATTTTTTGGGATACCACGTTTTGAAGTTATGTTTTTAAAAGTACTACCACTTTTTAAATATTACATAAATATAATAATTATTTTCAAATATTCTACAAATACCACAAACACAAAATTGATTTTTAAGATTTTATAATTTATTGTTTTGGTTTGGATTACCTATTGTAGAATTAGTGTATTGTTTTTATAGGGTAGGATTTGAGTTTAGAGTTTAGTTTTGAATGCTGAAAGTTAATTTTAATTTTGTGGTATTTGTGAAATATTTTAAAATAATAGTATTTGTAGGATATTTGATAAATGATAATACATTTGAAAATAAATTTTATTTAATGATATTTTTTTATTTTTTTAACATTGAATTTTTATTTTTATTATTTATTAGAATCGCCCTTAAAAATATAGTATAATATTTGAAGCAAAATTTTCATTGATTGAGTCGCGTGGTTAGGCATGATAATAAGTAGGCGCGTGAGGAAACAACACAACACGCACGGTCACGCGGGAATGACCCACATGCCTCCATCTCCCATGTTACTGTACGCAAAGTGATTAAAACCACTCTTGAGTCTTGACCAATATTGCTTACATTAAATGCATATTTTTAAGAGTTAATTTGCTACATAACAAAAAATTAAATAGTAATTAGATAATATGACAAAAAAGGTGGGGATTCCTTTGCAAAACCATAAAATGGGATTTTTCTTAATTATTTTATCATGAAATTTTTTTGTTATCAACCCAAATTTTTCTATTTTTAAATCTAAAGATACATCAAAATAAAATGGAGGAGATAGAGGCAAAAGCACAAACATTAATAGCTTTTAATGACGGAAAAATATAAAAGTAATAGCTTTGAAAATGTCATTGTTGATTAAAGTAGAAACCATGATGATGGTAATATTTATCTTCACATGAATATGATTGGTTTATAACTGTTGATTGGCCCACAACTTTGAACAAGTTCAGATTCATTTGGATTGTGTTTTGTACCAACCACTCGAATTAGTCAATTTTTCCATTATATCCAACCCCAAATACTATTTTCTCTTTTTTGAAATAATTGGCTACACTTATTGGAGATTTGACTCAGCTCCGCATGCCGTAACTAATCAAGATATTTTCTATATATACTGTATTTCTTTTGACATAGAAAAACATGAAGCTTGATAATCTGTGATTTTGATATTCACTAACTTGGAGATACTACATTTACACAATCTAAACTACGTTTCTTATTGTTTTTTGTTGTGACAAAAAAAAAACTATGTTTCTTATTGTTTTTTTTTTATAAATCAGAGATTGTTGACCAAAATCCGTAATCATTCAGACATGATATAATGACATGTTTTATTTCCCTCACAAAAGAAATTGAACGGTGGCTTTGTTCCTCTCGGACCAGTAGCCCAACCCGTTCTTGTTGTGCTTCTTATTTTTATAAGTAAGGTACAATCAGATATAGATTACTTTCTTAGTGTGACCAGACAGTTCTGTTGGTTTCCATGACATTGATTCTAATTTTTTAACACAGAAACACATATTCATATGTACTGTCAAACACAAATTGACAATCTTGTTACATTAGACATGAGTTCTCGTGGGGGAAGAAAAGAGAGAGAGAACAAATCAATTGTTATTGGCAAGGTAC